AGAACACTGAGCTCTGCAGCTGACCAATCAGAGAGTGGGGGGGGGGGGCAAGGAGGCAGCAGCCTGTCAGTCACATAGGAATCAATGGGAGGAGCACATTTTACCCCTTTTGACCCACTTAGTCCTTCTTAGTGAGCATCTATGCCATGGTAGGAGCACTCTCCCTAAATTTCATGTTTCTAGGTCCTGCAGTTTGGCCTGAGCGTTGGTTTTACGGTGAGGGGACTTTCTTTTATATACATAGATATATTCATTTTGATACCAGCTAGTTCACCAACAGACTGGCATCCTAAGCAGAAACAGAGTTCATCCTTTATAGGAAAATACATAACAAGGAGAATGGGTTCCAGTAACTCAAATGATGGCCTAAACTCCATTCTCAGACATAATTCACTCCACCCCATTTACAGAACACTGAGAATTCCTGGGAAGGGCATAAAATAAAATCCTCCTACAGCTTGAATAAGGAAGCCATTACATGGTGACCATGAAATGCTTAAAGTTCAGGGGGGTTAAATTGACCAATCTTGGGCAAGGGTGAAATGGCAGAAACATAAAATACAGAAAACTAAAAGCAATATCTCATGCTCAATAATCAAAAGTATGAGAGGATAGTGGGTCCTTATTCAGCATTTTAACAATGAACTAAATTTTTCTAACGATCATAAGTATGAAAGGCAAAGAATACTGGCATTTCATCCGCTGTACATTATTATGTGCCTAGAATATAGCCTAGCTAGAGTCATTTGAGTACAGATATTGCCGAAGTCACTGTGCATAAGATTGCAGCATTATATCTTTATGTATTCTATCATTTCATTGTGTTTAAGGTCCAAATTCATGATTCTTGGACCTTGGGGACTGCCTGGTAATGTAATCCCACACAACTGAGAACACGTGCGACTGGCAGACTTCCACCATTTGGCTACATTATCTCTCTCTTAAAAAACAAAAAACAAAGTGTACTCATTTGTTGAAGGGCATAATTCTGTTTAAGGCTAAGCATACTTCTGAGCATACAGATATAATGAACATCACCCAGCGAGCTTGCATGGCGGCGAGGTGATTGGATTGGAACCTGGGTCCACCCATTACAATGACTGGTTCTCAGAGGCCCTTCAGTTTGTAATCCATTTTTGAGGCGCCACGAGGCTTTTTCTTCTTCTTGTTCCTATACACTATTGCTTTCTTTCCCACACACAAGGAACTAACGACGCTGCCCCCCTCGAAAACCGCCCACCCCAGGCACACAACCAGCGCGACCGCCAGCCCCTCACCTTGGATGTGAAGCCGCCTAGACGAGAGGAAGGACAGGACACGCAAGATGCCAGAGGAGGGGCAGTCAGCAGGCACGTCACCAAACGCCTTAGCGAAACGGACCTGATTGGCTTGGGCCTAAGGGGGCCGGGTTGACGCTTAATTGGGCGGAGCTTGTGGGCTGAGTGGAGAAATCTTTGGCGCGGTGCTGGTTTATGGCGCTCGCTGCGATATGTACATTGTGGTGTAACCACTGGCTCTTTAAACCAGTACAGTCCTATGGCCATTTACCCAGAAATAAGTCTCACTAAGCTTAACGGGCCTTCTTCCAGTGTAAGTGCGTGTAAATTGCAGACTAAACGCTGCGAGCGAGTTGTTGTGTTTGACAACAACCGCCGTTGTCTAATTATCGAACATTTACATGGCAAATCAAGCCATAATTATACATTGTTGCAGAAAGGTAATGAGTAGCCCTTTTCTTTGGCAAAAGTATTCTGTCGGCAAGCAGGTCGAGGCTAGTGAAATGGCTGGACTATGAGAGTCATTATCTCACTTCTCAAAATGTTATTAATTTAAAACAGAATGGTTTTAAATGGCATCTGTGTTTGTGCGTTGGTTATTCGCAGCTTTGGTAGTTACTGAAATAACGGAATAACGGAAAGGAGATGTATGCATTTTTCTTTTTAAAAAATCAAGAGGATTCGGGTGTTAAGTTCTGGGTGGGCTCTCCTTATATACTTGCGTAAGCCCGCTCTCCTACATTATCGAGGTATTCACTCCAGGGCGCAAAACTGCACGGGCTGGTGAACAAAAATCACCACGGTAAACATTTTAAATACCCTCCAGCGAGGCGGGTGAAGGGATACATGGGAGTGGTAGTTTTTGAGTCGGAATGGTCAGGCGTCGATCATAGGCAAAAAACCCCTCGGCTTGACTACAAGCCACAGGGGGCGTCATGAATCAGTCGCGAATGCACGTCGACCCGCAAGACTCCTAGAAGAGGGTCCCAGTCTCGGGATTGGTTACTTTGGCTGGTTTCTCATTGGTTGTCTGGGTTGGAGGGCAGCTGGAGACAGTCATTCAGTGTCGGGCGGCCGTCGTGCAGTGTGGGAGCAGCCGTGGGAGCTCCGTGGCACCCTGAGGCGATGGTCTTCTGAGTCTCCTGGAAAGGGGGTGTCTGTGCAGTGCAGCTAGGCGATGGCTGCCGTGGCGCTCAAGGCTGCCAGTAGCAGCAGCAGCAGCATCTGGAAGGGCAGCGGAGCCAGCCTGCAGCTGGTGGCCGCGGCTTCCAGTCACAGCGGTGGCTGTTCTAAAGCCCGCCATTCTGGTGGAGGCAGTGGCGGCGGCCCCGTGGAGGGGAGAAGCAGCAGGCACGTAGGGGGCGGCCAGCAAAAGGCCCACCAGCATCAGTCTGCGGGGCACTCCCAGCCCCCTTCTGTAAGCAGCAAAGCCAAGACCTCGGCGGGACCCGGCCACGCCGCGACCAAAACGGCAGCAGGTGCCCTCTTGGGAAGCCAGCCCAGCCCCGTCGAGGGGATCGACACCAAGTCCTACCTGTGGGCTAGATACCACGAAATGAAAAGGCTGGTTTACGGTGAGAGCTGCCTTTGACTGGGACTCTGGTTCTTGCCTGTCTCTTACGCTTTCCCCCCCCTTTTTGCTAGAAATAGGTTATGAACGTGACTTCGGTAAAGTGTTCCGTTCAAGCGTCGCGCCACAAAATCGGGTCTCACTGAAAGCGATAGATGCGTTTATTGCCAGGGGCGGGGAGGACGAGTCCAAAGAAGCCTTGCAGCCGGCCAAACTGGCATTAGGGAGACGCATGCAGCAGCTGTGGTCTAAGTTCACTTGGGAGCCCCGTGGCCGGAATCCCATCTGATTGCCTTTTGCTCAGCGTGTTGGTTCATGTACTCCTTTGCTACTGTGGACAGAATGAGTTCAGCCTATAGCTTTTAGGCTGTTGCCAGATATGTTGTTTTCAGACAAGTGTTGTGTACTACAAGGGAGAATGGTGTGAATCTGCACTAACTCAAATTTTGATCAAGCTTCCAGTAGCATTTTAAGGACTAACAAAGTCTGTGGCAGGGGATGAACTTTTGTGAGTCACTCACTGCTCACTTCTTCAGGTATCTGAAGTGATTCACGAAAGCTCATCCCCACCACAAATTTTGTTTGTCCTTAAGGTGATATTGGACTCTTGCTCTTTTTACTACAAGGGAGAATGGTGTGAATCTGCACTAACTCAAATTTTGATCAAGCTTCCAGTAGCACTTTAAGGACTAACAAAGTCTGTGGCAGGGGATGAACTTTTGTGAGTCACTCACTGCTCACTTCTTCAGGTATCTGAAGTGGTTCACGAAAGCTCATCCCTGTCACAAATTTTGTTAGTCCTTAAGGTGCTACTGGACTCTTTTCTACTGCTATAAACAGATCAGTTTTTGGTATCTGATGTTTATCAGGGATGCAGTTTAGTGCCTTAAGTCTACTGGGCTCTTGAAACAATGTTTTTAAAAGGCTAACAGAAAAAAAAATGTTCGATAGTACCTTAAGATTAGCAGATTTATTTTGTGATAAGTTTTTTGGACTTGGGCCCACTACTGTATGAAAGCTTGTGCTACAGTAAGTCTGTTAAACTTCAAGGCTCTGTGAAGTTCTCTATGTTGGTGTATCCTTCTGTGACTTCTGAACTTTAGATTATCATGTACTCATTTAAAGATTTCTTGTATCCCAAGTAACGGCCTGTTACATTGTATAACCAAGGTTACATAATATTTTATTAGGAAACTGTCCATTCTGCAAAGCCAGCCCCATAATATTCACCAATTAGTGAGCCATTGCCAAGTACATTGAAAGCAATACACTGATAAAAGATGTTGCAGCTTGCATTTTGCAGTGTTGAAGAATCTCCCAGCTTGCCATGTTCAACATCTTTCTTCATGGTTGAGTTTTTAAGCATTGTTTTGTTTATGAATTTGCTTGTGACCTGCTTAAAAAGACCGCTGCAGACTTTGGTTGTAGGTATTAAATACTATGCGGTACTTTTGAAGAACTAGTAAAATTTCTTTACCATATGTAGGTAGCGTATCTAGGTATAGTTAAGATTTTTGTTGGCATAAGATTCAGCACTGTGTACATATTTTTTAAATTTAATGTAACTGTTGCAGATCTTGAACCTCCTAGATCACAGGTTAAGAACCCCTGCGTAGTGTCTGAGGCTGCTGTTTCATTGGGAAACCCTTTTGTTTGTAACAAACCCTGCTATTGGATGGCCACACCCACTTTCTGGAAAGCTTGGTGGCCTATCTCCAGGGGAAATACTGGCATGCACAGTGGTGCCTACAGGTACTATTACGTTAGGGGACCCTGAGCATAGTTTTCTACAACCAAAATTGCAAATATACTATTGGGCTCACCCACCTAATATGCTTGCTTCTTGTGCACACCTACAGCATACACCTGGGGCTTTGTTGGTTTTAGGTTTTTAATTGGAATTATATGGTATTATTTTTAATTGTATTATTGGTTTATTGTAACCCGCCCTGAGCCCGCTTGTAGGGGAGGGCGGGATAGAAATCCAGTAAATAAATAAATACGAGAGAGAGAGAGAGAGAGAGAGAGAGAGAGCGAGCTGCAAACTGATGCATTCTATGCTATTTGAGCACATGAAACTTAGTTTTTGCCATTTAAGATGTAGGAAAAAATGAAAGTGGAAAATAGGAAACACCAATTTTTAATTCACAAAGGAAAGTGGATTATTTGTATCATTCATTCAGAAGAGAAAGTATTTCATATCAGTTCTGATTTTTTCTTTTCTTTTACTGGATGGGCCTGCACTGCACATTTTTAGGCAAGTTGGGCAGGGCATTCTCAGCAGCCAAATTGTGAAAATTCCCCTTCTGGCTTTGGAAAGCCCTTTGACGTGTGTTAGATTAATAGCAGATGTTTTTTCCTATAAATATGTTGTGATTTTAAGGGGCATATTGAGCCATGGAGGGGTCAGTTCGGATCCCAGTATCTAAATTCAAGGAATAAATAAACTGATAACCTGAGGAATTCTATATGAGACATGTGAATAAGATACCTGTTGTCAGAAATATTAGTAAGAATGCCAAATTTTAAGCAAATCTTAAGTGTGTGCTTTGATAAGCTCTCAGTCGAGTCCGACTCTTTGCGACCCCTTACCTGTTGTCAGAAATGTTAGTAAGAATGCCAGATTTTAAGCAAATCTTGTGTGCTTTGATAAGCTCTCAGAATTTATTTTTGTTGTTGTTGTTCAGTCGTACAATCGAGTCCAACTCTTTGCGACCCCATGGACCAGATCACGCCAGGCCTTCCTGTCTTCCGCCATCCTCTGAAGTTGGCTCAATTTCATGTCCGTTGCATCTATGACACTGTCTAAACAACTCATCCTTTGCCGTCCCCGTCTTCTTTGACCTTCAGTCTTTCCCAGCATCAGGGTCTTCTCCAGTGAGTGCTCCCTTCTCATTGGGTGGCCAAAGTATTTGAGCTTCAGTTTTATTATCTGGCCTTCCAGGGAACAGTCAGGGTTGATTTCTTTTAGGATTGACTGATTTGATCTTCTTGCAGTCCAAGGGACTCTCAAGAGTCTTCTCCGGCACCATAGTTCAAAAGAATCTATTCTTCGGCGCTCGGCCTTCCTTATAGTCCAACTCTCGCAGCCGTACATGACTACTGGGAATACCATTGCTTTGACCATGTGGACTTTTGTTGGCAGGGTGATGTCTCTACTTTTTATCATGCTGTTGAAGTTCACCATCGCTTTCCTCCCAAGGAGCAGGTGTCTTTTAATTTCATGGCTGCTGTCACAGTCTGCGGTGATCTGGGATCCCAGGAACGTGAAGTCTGTCACTACTTCCATGATTTCCCCTTCTATTTGCCAAGGAGTGATGGGGCCGGATGCTATGATCTTAGTTTTTTTTATGTTGAGCTTCAAGCCCACTTTTGCGCTCTCCTCTTTTACCCTAAGTAAGAGATATATTAAATAAGCAAGGTGACAATATACATCCTTGTCGTACTCCTTTTCCT